CACCTGCTGAGCCGTGCTCCGGGAGCCAGGCCGTGGGACCCTGCGTCAAGGTGGAACTGCAAAGAAGGTTTCCTGCCATGGCTGGCAGTTGGACAAAGCACAGCTCAGCGCCAAGCGGAGCAGCCGGGTCCTGGGCCGGGGCCAAGAGATTGTCTCGGTCCTGCACAGCCGGAGGGCTTTAAAAGGAGAGAAAGAGGAAGGCAAGGAGTGGAAGAGACAAAGGATGCTGTGAGAGCCAAACATGCCATCGTGGGCCGAGTGCTCGGCAGCCACCAGTGCCCAACGGCCCCAGCCACCCGCTCGGGGGGCTCCCGCGGGCAGTGACTCCGGATCCCCCCGTTGTTTTGGGGTCATTTCCCGAGGGACCCCGTCCCACCCACCACCTCAGTTCAATTGCAGCGGGGAGGGCCTGGTGCTGGGCAGCACTAGAAGGGCCGCAGGCATCATTGGAGGGGCCGCAGGCACCCCCCCAGGCAGGGACCCAGCAGCTCTGGGTGATGGGGACGTCTTTGGTCCCACAGGTCCCCGTGCAGCCCTGAGCAGGGCTTGCCAGGGCATCCCGCACAGGGGTTGCAGGGTGAGCTCCTGCAGCCTTGTCCCGGGCTTGCTGCTGCCCTCAGGGCTGATGGCTCGGGGTCCTGCTCCTGTGGGGTCGGTGTGGGGGCCACCCGCGTGCTGGCTCTGCGAGTGAAGGGTGCTGATGCCAGCTTTGGGGTATCTCCATCTCCTGGAGTTGCCCACGTGAAGAGGATGCTGTACCGGGTGGAAGAGCAGAGAGGAGCCAGATCTTCCCGCTCCGGGGCCAGCGTCCAGGCAGCACCGTCCCTGCAGACCTCCAGGGCTTCGGCTTGATGAAAGGCAGCGCAGCATCCCCAGGGCTCTGCGGGAGGGACCATCCATGCCCGGGGTACTGGGTCCCCGAGGGGATACAAAGAGGGCACCCGGCTGTGCGTGCCCATCCCTTCCCCAGCCCTGCAGTGCACATTAGCCACGCTGCTGGAGTCGCTCTGCTTATTATCATATTTAATTGCCCTCCTGGTAACCCCAGGAAATGAGCAGAAGATTGTGATAGCAGCAGTTTCTGATGATGTAAACACGAGCTCCAGCTCTCCCCGCCGCCTTGCCAAGTCAGTCCCAGGGAGAGCAGTGATTTATGGAGACCCCCAGCCCCGCTCCCCCCGCTCCTGGCTGCCTGGGCTGCGAGTTTAATCTAGGACTGTGAATTCAACATAAATCACTTGATTAAAAGCTCTACTTAATTTAGGAGGGGGGGAGGGGGAGCAGAGCACAGCTGATCGATTTAATTTACACAGGGAAATAGCAACAAGCAGATGCTTTTAAAAGGGCCGGTGAGGCTGGTGATTCTGCAGCCGTTTCATCTTAACCATTGAAGTGCTCGCTAAAGGGGCTGGCAGCCTCTTGCCTCCTCCGGGTGAGCCACCACCCGGCACCCCCACCCGGACCCCGCATGCCCGAGCAGCTTGGGGGGCCCTGGGGCACAGGATGCCCCCGTGATGCCCCAATTGAGGGTCCTCAGCAGCATCTTTAACCGCCCCGGGGCTTCTCAGGTGATGAAACACCTTTCCCAGGGCCAGCGGTTTCTGGAGGCAGCAGGTCAAGTTTAAATGCAAACAGGCTGGGGCTGGCACCGGCTCCGTCCTGGGAGGAGAAAAGAAGACAGGAAAAGTGGAGAGACCGAACCAGAGCTGCAGTGGTTATGTCGGGAG